TGAAGGTCCACGCAAAGCAATTCTTCCATTTTTCCAAATCCAACCCCAAATCCAACCAGTTTACCAGCAGCCAATTTGATGCCGTAAGGTTGTTTTGAGAATGCTGAAATGCTAGGCAGATAACAGATCACTCTCAGGGTACAATGGAACTGGAACTGGCTAGGAGTCTGCTCTGTCTCTGAAGACAATCCCCCTCCCTAATTCCCAAGCGTACAGCAAAAGAGAAAGCATCCGAAAAATGCCAGGCTTCCTCTCTCCCTTCTAAAAGAATGAAAGGACATAATGGTGGGCCTGACACCATCAGAAAAACAAACTGGTTACTAAGAACCTAAACTGCAATCATCTGACTGCAGGAGTGCTTCAACGGCTGCAACTTCGACAACTGGTTGTAAGTACCACTCACTAAGCATCACTGCAACTTTGGTCTTTAATGAGTGGTCAGTAAGCAAAGATTAGCTTTTACAGAAGAACAGAGATGAAAAGTAGGCAATAGGTGACCTTTATTCAGTACTATAAAAGAAACAATTTAGCAAACAGGGACAATAAATACAAGATATTTAATGGAAAAGGTCATGAGAACAGGCATTCTCTGTCAGTGCTCCCTTCCTCTGAAAAAACATTGCTTCCTTCATATTTTTATGGAATATTTTAAAAATCTGATTGTTTCAAAAGGCCTTTGGAGAAGAGGATGAAATAATATATTATCTGCTTAATTATGGCTCCATGTAGTGTAGTTACTAGTAGTTGTTTATTGTTTGAGTAGTTGTTTTATTGTAATAGTCAGGGGTGGGATTCAGCCAGTTAGGGCTGGTTCAAGCGAACTGGATTTTAAAATTACATTCAGTTTTGAAAACCGGTAATTGCGATGATGAGCTGGCCCCGCCTCTTCCAGAAATCCCCATGCACTCCATTTTTGTTCCCAGGTAAGTGCATGGAGGCCTTCTAGGCCCAAAATGGGATGCATCACTGTGTGTGTGTGGTGAGGCCACCCCATACCCTGTTTTGGTTCTCCGGGGGCACCAGGGAAGCTTGCTAGGCCCAAAACTGGGCATAAGGGGGTGCGGTGCAGCCTCCCACACCCCATTTTGGCTTTTCTGAGGCTGCAGGGAGGCTTCCTCTGCTCCTCTTTTGTGATTCCTGATGAAGCTATGCTGCAATAGCCCTCTTGCAGCAAACCAATTTCTTCTGCATTCCAGGGAGGTCCATAAGGGAATCATAAAAAGAAAAAAAATCAAGACTGCAAGACAGAAAAGGTAGAGCTGGGATTGCATGATGGTGGCTATCTGCTTGAGGCTTTGAAGAGACCCCACTTGTTTTCTATCCATGCAGGGAGGTTCACCTTCCCTGGCTAAAAAACCTCCCCTCTCCTCCCCCACCCTGTCCGCATCCTGTTCCCTTCATCCTCAACTTTTTATTATTATTATTATTATTATTATTATTATTATTATTATT